AAATCACCGCGAGCGTCACGCGTGCTTCAGTATTTGTGTAGTAAACAAAACCGCGTCTCCGCCATTCATTCATACAGAGGCAAGCGGAACATGCAGGATTCATATTTAAACAGTCTATTTGCATTTTAATATTCACAGACACTAGTTCATATCGTGATTCGAATTAAGTCACAGTGGCTACTTTTCATTTATTCGTCCAAAATTGACGAATTCCGTGGCATTCCGCGTTATAGAGTAAATTACGTTTTTATGAATGGACTCCGCGTTTTCGCAGAAACCATATGGCCCTAGAAACGTAAGCACACTTCACAACATTTCGGCTTGCCCTGTGGGTTGTTTGAACGAGTTGCAGGGGTGACCTCACGTTGCAGGTTTTCTCTTTCTCTCTCTGTAGCGTATGCGCGCAGATGCGTTCTCAGGTACCGAAATTTGGCACCGATTGATTTAATGTGAATCGGTACTCGGTAGTACCGACGCAATTCGGTCGGTACCCTTAAAAGTACCGAGTTCGGTACCCAACCCTAAACGCAACATCCAAAAGAGGCGACTGATGGACATTTGCCATGGCTTTTCCTAGTTAACTGCATCCGTACGGCATTCCTGTCTGCAAAAGTCTTTGCCAAGATTAAAGACATTAATTGCGCATTAAAGACATACATTTCCCCCACTTTCACAGGGATCATGACTTTGTGTCAGACTTTGGTGAGGTTTGTTTGGAAACCCGATTCTGGATCAGTACTGGCTCAGCAGCTCTATTCATTAAAGCTGAAATCTCCATGGAAAGGAGGCAGATCAGTTCACTTCCTGTCCTCAAAGACTGCTGATCATGCACAACCCACCCGCAACCCCTATCTTTTCCCTTCTCTCCATCTCTCTCACTATTGTGCGATTGAACTCGGTCCACGCTCTGCCTTCAGTTTTCGGTGCCGGTTCGGGACACAGTGATGAATGAACCCAAGACTGCTGGATCTTGGCCCCAAACAACGTGTTTCATATTTAGTCATTCCCAGTGAAAGCCCACTTTATGGCCCGGCTCTTGGCTGCCGTTCCTGGACTGACACTGCTCTCGTCCATGTCGCTTTCACCTAGACATGGACGAGCAACTTAAGTAGGTCTGATGGGAAAGAATGCCATATTTGTGAATCAGATTTCATCCGAAATACATAATACAAACACTAGTTGTTTCTTTGCCAATCTTATTCCTTCCCTTATCCATTTCTACAATCGACAATTTTAACCCAACTTCAAGTCTTTGAAGTCTAAAATTTTTTTAAACTGGCCTTTTTTGAACAATCCAAGTAAATTACTATCAAAAAACATCTTGTTGATGTATCAAAAATCTATTAATAACCAAATACATGATGTGCTTAAAGTGTAACTCGTCACCTGAATGTGCTGCAAGAGGAATTTTGGAAAAATAAGGAAACACTTCTAACAAATGCTTCCTTATAAGGCTAGAGACAGGAAATTTCTAACAAGAACAACAGGGTACATTTCTTCACTCAAAACATACAGTGGCCCCAAAAGGTATTTGGACACTTATAGATATTTAATTATTTGGAAATCAGTTATAACACATTAAAAAAAGTGGCATCTGCAAACAAAACTGTGAACACTTTTGTCAGATTGTTTTAAACTAACTGGTGTTAAGGTGTTTTCACCTTCACAAAGGTGACCTATCAGAGGTGTAGTTCATCACATTAACTATGAACATGTTCCACTAACATTTGATAACCAGAACATACACGAGAGAGTGGCGTACTTAAAATGCCACTCTCTCGTGAACGAGCATACGACAGTTAGCTGAAGCAAGAGTTTTATAAAGTTTTAAATATGGATATTTTTCTTACACAGACGCATCACTTTGCCTCAGGAGGCCTTTATTAACCCCCGGAGCCATGTGGGACACTTTTTATTATGGATTTATGCACTTTATTGGACTTCAAAATCTCAACAGCCATTCACTCCCATTATAAAGCTTGGAAGAGCCAGGACATTTTTTTTATATAACTATGATTGTATTTGTCTGAAAGAAGAAAGTCATATACACCTAGGATGGCTTGAGGGTGAGTAAATCATGGGGTAGGCCTAATTTTCAATTTTTGGGTGAACTATCCCTTTATGTTGATTAATGTATGTACTGTTTTATCACTCTTAAAACTTCTCTCTGTAAAATGCTGTGATCCAAAAGTGTATTATACTGCATTACTTTATGAAATAACTTAATAAATGTTATTTGGATTTATATTTTTCAAATAAAGACATTCAAACATTTGCAAGTGTCCAAATATTATAACTATGGGCCCTCAAGTAGGGCAGACAAGACATAGATAACTTGTGTAAAAAGCAAATATCTTCACTTTTGACAATTTAAAGCAAAATTAGATATAATCATGTAATCAGGGATGTAGTTGTTGTTTCAATTTAGCAGGGACAGCTAACTGAAAGTTTCCTTTCAACGCAAATTTGATGCTTCCAGAAATTAAAAAAATAATTAAACTTATTAACACTGAGAAGAAATGGATAGCTAGCCTACTTGAGACTGAACACAGACACAACAGTCTTACTATATTTTGTGCCAACTAAAGGCAGTGACAGACAGAGAGAATAGCAGATAGAAATACATACAGAAAGAGAGGTAGATAGATTGACAGACAGACAGAATAACAGATAGAAAGACACGTAGATAGACAGTGATAGCTTCACATATTGATAGCTAGAAGGATAGATGTGCAAACGTAGATAGATAGATATAGATTACTGACATTTGGTAGAGTTTGCAGGTCATCTGAGACATTAGCTGTGACCCAAAGGCTAAGACTATAGTGAGCTGCCAACATAGACAGCATATTTGGGCATCATCGGCACGTGCATCATTTAGCTGACTCAGAATGCACTTATGATGCTGTCTTCGTAGGCAGCTCACTAGGTTTTGTCGACCCAGCCTTCACTCAAGCAGAAGGCCTACTGCAATTTACTCGGAAATCACATGGAATATATAATTACCAACTCACAATCATACGAATAGCTTACACTACAACATCTAACTTCAATAACAGAAGTATCATTTGCTTTGACAGTGAGGAGGATGTTCCCAGTGCGTCCTGATGGACATCACAAACGCGTTAAAACACAACTGTCCTTGCCAGAAGTTACCGCCGTTCGTTTGCATCGCATCACTGGATATTGGAAAAGCAGGGTGGTTTGCATGTGAACTTGCGGTTAAAGGACTACAGATCGGCCGTAAGAGTAAACGCAACTTACGATGCATTTCCTGCCCAGGTAGTTGAACAGACACTCGTTCTCCTGCGGGGTCAGAAGCAGAGAGCCCACGTTTGCCACCCTCCTATGGGGCGGGTGGCCGCTCATGTTGACGGATGAGGCGGATGAACTTGAGCGTTTGTCTCGTGTTAGATTATTTTATGTGCAATCACAGATCAACATGGCCTGCGCTCCGTTCATCCCGTAAGGAATTCCGCATACATGTAGAGCCGATTTAGTGTTGTCCTCAATGCGCGGGCGATGCAGGTGCGACTCGTTAACTCCTGTGGCTTATTTATTCTTTAATTCGTTCACTTTTGACAGACTGCATGATATAAACTTTCATTCCGAACTCCTAAAGCAATAACGATCCTTCAATCCAACATGGCAGCAGGACGGTAGAGTTCAAGGCGCAGTTTGAGAAAGGGTAGAAAAAAATTCGGTCGGGCCAGGTGTTAGCTTTTCTGTACAAACATACTCTTTTGTTGTTATTTAGTTACAAAATACTAAATTTGAAATCACAAAACTCTGCTGTATTGTCTAAACGTGAGTTAATGCGAATTAAAACAGTGATCCGTAACCACTAAACCCCTCTAGTTTCTCGGAATGGTCTATCCCTTTTTTCCCGTGCCTCCTGCAGAATGCGGACGGGATGCGCACGGGATGGGCGGGGCCTCTGAGGTAGAGGGTGGAGCACAGCGCCGTCATTGATAGAAGGAGATTACAGTATTTTGACGCTCTGTTTTAAAGATAGGATAACTATGCTGCTGTTTCATAAAGCGGATAATTTCTATTGAAGCTTCTGAATGGTAAATATACAGCTTAAAATCCATAATATAGTATTAGGTATGACGAGAAACACCTGTTCATTGTATCACTGCGCAGCTACATTGCTGTTACATTGCAACGTTTGATAAGGGACTATATATTTTGTAGTGGAAGGATACCACTTATAATTTTGTAATTTTATATATTTTAAAATTTCTTTTTTAAATGTACTTATTGGTTTTTAATATGTTGTATTTTAATTGGTTTTCAGACTTTATTACCATAAAAATATTAAAACTTTTTTTATAGTTTGCAGAATTTATGCACACACTTCTATCTCATATCAATACTGATTAGAATATATATTTGATATACTGATATATTTGATATGCTTTGATATGCTAAACACACACACACACACACACACACAATAATGCATTTTCGTTCAATGCATTTTTTGATTATTTATTTTAAAAATTGGTTCCAAAATATATGTAAAAAACTAAAAATTATATATATATATATATATATATATATATAATTTAACAACTACAGAATCTGTTCTAGTATCTATCTATACTAGTATGGGCTGTTTTTGTATTCTTTAGAATTTTTAACCATTTTTATAAATAAATAAACCCCAGAACCAGATCCTGGAAGTTGAGCCAACCTGAGATGTTTTATAAGGTGAAAGTCTGGCTTTCCTCAGTCCAGACTATAAACTATAATTTTAACATTTTTTACCACTAATTGAAACCACCAGTTATATTCTATTTGGAGGATAACAGTGATCACACAATTGGCATATCTGTGTGGCTGCTGTATGTTTAGACCATCTTTTCTCATGAGATAATGATGCCTTCAGTTTTCCATGGAGATTCAGCACATTATACACCGTTATTACAGAGCAAAAAAACTTCACTTTGCAATAAACCAGTAATTTCAGTGTAATTAATAAGAAGGCGAGATAAAGAGCTATCACTTTAACCCATAGAACCAAAAACTTTTGGAGCCCAGAAATTAAAACCTCACCAAATGGAGAATCAAACAATTTAAGATTATTGTTATTTAAAAAAAACTTTTCACAGCTATACTTTTATTTATAATGCCTGATTAATAATTGTCCAGTCTTATCAGCATCAGGGACAGAGTTCACCTTGTTCTTCTCTACCAATGAACAAATGAAGAACAGAGAGGCAAAAAAAGAGACAGATGGAGGATCTTGTTTGAAAGCGGAGCCCTGCCAGGGGACACCTGGCCTCCTGTTAAACTCTGCTACTGCACTGCATGTTCAACACAAACTGAGACAAGATGAGAACTATAGCAATCCAAGACACATGCAAACCAAGATTACACTCTCTTGTACATATTCATGCTTGAATTGTCCTAAAATAACACTTTAAGACTTTTTGTCTTGTGTAATATATATATATATATATATATATTACATTTTTTGACCGATATGTTATTTATTTTCTTGTATTTCTGTACTTTGGTCACCACGACAATTCTTTCTGGCTCATTCTGATTCTGATCTCCACTAGATGGCGATATTGATTAACAGCTCTTTTATGTTAATCTATTTATGAACTGTTGCTCCATTTTTAAATTATATTTTACCTTAAATTATTGCAAGTGATATTTACCTTAATTTTTTCTTGTTTATTCAAATATCACGTCTCATATTTCATTTGCGGTCTCTTCACTGACACAACTGTAAACAAGTAGGCTTACACTAACTTTTGAATGAATGCATAAATAAATAAATAAATTAATTAATACATTTTAATGCTCCTTATTTGTTCCACTCTCTGTATATAATAATAAACGTAATAATGAATATTCCTATTGAATATTTTTAGATTTTAAGATAAATTCTGGATCTGGGACGACATATTTTTAAAGCAGCAAACATAAACAATGAGGAAGTGTTTACAAGATCGTTTTAAGGCGACATTTATAATACTAATATTAAGGAGATTCCATTTTACTTTATTAACTACGGTTACCATGATACTGAAGAATATCAACAAAGACGTTATTATTTGCTTTTGCTTTATTAATGCGCGATGTTGATTTTTCGATTATCTGGCAACTTCAGGAGTCAGCTGACCTGCTGACGACAGTCGGGCACATCGCACCGCAGCGCTACTGTAACAAAAGAGTGATCGATCCCTGCGGTTTTATTTAGCGATCATGAGCAGCACACAGTCTTACTGTCGCTTCAGTGATGAAAACTACAAAAACTGGCTGAAAACAACGGAGAGTCTTTACATACTGAGGAACCGCATTCGGGACTTCATAGAAAAGGAAACCGAAACTTATCACAACTCTCTTCAAAACAAATCTCATCTCCATAGACAGACCTGTACGCGATCGTGCAAATTTGCGAATAAGGTAAATTATGGTAAATAAGGTAAATTAGGCACAAATGTAAAGTCAAAGTAAACAACAGGAATAGCCTTCATTAAAAATCACTTTTTAAATGATCCCAACGTAGTAGGCTACTGTATAAAATGTATAAATTTAGACAATGTAGAAATACAGTGTAATCTATCTGTCTGCCTGTCTGTCTGTCATACAGACAGAATATATTTATGCTACATTTCTATATAGGCCTACTGAATGCTATTATTCCTACTTAACACAACAAATTTAGAATAATAGTAATGCCATTGCCATATTAAATAAAAAGAGTATCAACACAAATGGAAATATGGCAGTACACCAAAAAATGTAAAAGACTGTCAGTTAAAATCAAAGTTTCTGGGAGTGTCTGTACATGTCTCTCAAACTGTGTTTTGCTTCTTCCCCGCAGCCTGTCTGCCAGTTGTGTGAACACTGGAAGAATGAAATCATTGCCAATCATAATGGGAAGGGTAATAGTATACACTGGGAGAACTGCCGGCCACTTCTATGGCCCACAGATAAGTGGGAAGTTGCCAAAGTAAGTTGCTTTCATAATTAATAACTACTGCATTAATAGAGTGTTGCCTCTGAGTGCTGTCTGTTAAAATGTCTTGTTGCATATGGGGAGGCTTATATTTAGAAATGTCAGCGATCAAAAATCTATGTGCATTACATTTTTTACTTTGTTAACTGCATGTTTCACATATTTATGACAGGCACATATGCCACGTGGGCACAAAGAACATCGCAAGTTTGACCAGTTTGATATTGCTGCCATCCTGAACTTAATGAGTTCCTGTAAACATTTCAAGAGCATCCCAGGACAATCTGTGATTAACGTAAGTATTCTGAAAATCCAATTTTTCATTGGATTACATCATTCAGAACCTCTATATTTGTGATAAAACTTCTCAAAAGCTTCGTGCTATAGTACGTGACCACCGTATCGGTATGGATAGTCAAATACTGTAGCTCTCATGTTGTGCTGGATAACACATTTCACACTTTTTTTTCAACAATTCAGGTAATAACTGTACGGAACAAATTGATGCATTCGCCTGACTTCAAAGTCAGCAATGAGGACATGAAAAATCATCACAAAACAGTCCTGCAGTTGGCTGAGAAGCTCCAACCTCATGTCCCAGAAATGAAAGACTTGGAAAAGAAGATAACACAGGTGGATGGAAAATTACTATTATTATTATTAATAATTGTAAGACCTGGTTATTATGGAAGTTATTATTATTTTTTATTATTATCAATAGCGATTAGGATAATGTTGCTCTTCAATATAATTGTATTATTTATTATTAAATTCAGTACTTACTGGAAAGTTTTTCAATTTTCTGTATAGTTTCATAACACCTTGGACAAGAATTTCAATCAAGCCCCGTGTGAGGTAGATGGCCAACTGAAAGATCTCCAGACCATGAAAGACTTCCAGAAAGTTCTGGACCGTGAGCAGCAAGCCATTAAAGACAGGATTGAAGACTTTTTCTCACGCTTTGAGGGGAACCAAGATGAAAATGTCAAAGTAAGTACAGTAGATCAACACTAAACTGTTAAACAGTTAAGTGTGAACTGCATCATGTTTGTTCTTAAACATGACTTTATGTTAAGGGAGACATGAGTCTCCTGGACTTCCTGGACCAAAACAAAGATCTCCTGGAGAACCTGGGCCCTGAAGTCAACAAACTGAAAGAGATGCAGGCAAAAGTAGATCAACATGAGGAGCAGATCAGCAACCTGACAGGCAGAGTGGACCAACTGGAGAAAGTGACACATGGTATGAAGAACTGAGAAGAATATAATACCATTAGTTTTTATGTTTGATTTAATCATTTAGCAATATTTAGTTTCTACATGATGCTTCTAATGTGTTCTATGGGCCAAAAGCGAACTCACATAGAAAGTTTAGTGACACATAATATCCCATGAAAATTACAAATTGAAAAACTTTTAAATTATGATTAAGAGGAGGTCGATCCATTGTGAGAAAGAAGTACACTTTATTATACTTTTAAAAACAGTACTATATAATTGCAATATACTTTAAAAGAATATACTTAAGTGTGAACTGAATGTAATGTTTTCAGACACATGGAAATTTATTTTAGTTAACTTGTATTAAATGCAATTAGTATTTAACTTGTTTGCCATATATTGAAATAAATTTGTAATTACATATTCGTAACAATGAAGTTGCAATGTTGTAATGTTATAAAGTTGTAATGAACTCAAATAAGTCAGTACCTCAAAATAAGTGTACTTCTTTACGGCAATTAAAACAATGATTTAAAAAAATATAATATATATATATATATATATAATATATAAAATATACTTTAAAATAAACCTTTTAATTTTATTAAATTTTTACAAAATTTAGTTTTTAAAAGTTGTGAAACAATCATGAAAGTGTACTGTCTTTAAAGGCATAGTTCACCCAAAAATGAAAATTCTGTCATTAATTACTCACCCTCATGTCGTTCCAAACCTGTAAGACTTTCGTTCATCTTCGGAACACAAATTAAGATATTTTTGATGAAATCCGAGAGCTTTCTGACCCTGCATAGACAGCAACGTAAATACCACCTTCAAGGCCCAGAAAGGTAGTGAGGACATGTTAAAATAGGCCATGTGACATCAGTGGTTCAACCTTAATTTTTTGAAGCTACGAGAATACCTTTTGTGTGCAAAGAAAACAAAAATAACGACTTTATTTCTTCGTTCAAAGATGAACGAAGGTCTTACGGGTTTGGAACGACATGAGGGTGAGTAATTAATGACAGAATCAGACATTTTTGGGTGAACTAACCTTTTAAGTACACTTAAGTAGCCTTTTGTCATGCTTTTAACACAGAACAAATTATTAAGCAAAATTACACAAGTTTAACTCACCTTGAGTCATTTTGAGTCTGCAACTGTATTCAGATTGTCTCATTCCAGTGTTTCTCCATCCACAGATCCAGTTATTCCTGGCAACCTGCTTAGATACAAGAATCATCTTTATGAATATTGTCAGGCAAAGAAATGGCCAGAGGATACATTTCCTGTTTTTACAGAGGATCAAGAATCCCAGGGTAACAAATTCATCATCCATCCAATTAATGTTAATTGCATGATAGTTCTTTAGAAAACAAATAAAACATGTATTTGTTTAGACATACAGGAAAAGTGGATACAATTCTTGAATTCAGGTTAGATTCAACAGTTAATCATATAAAGTTCACATCCTCTGTAAAGGTTACAGAGGTAAAGTGACGGTGAATGGGCAAAGTTTCATTGGCAGAAGGGTATTTAACGACAAAAAGGCAGCGCATCAGGAGGTTGCATACATTGCCCTCGAGCAACTAAAATTACAGGAAGAAAGCACAGATGAACTATCAAGCTCAGTCATACAGCCTGATGCCTCCACTTCATCTTCCTCAGGTGAAATATGACTAAGAAATTGTAGAATTGAATTATGGCACACTAAGATCAATGTATGATACAGTATGTAATTTTTTATTTTGACACCTCAGGAATCACTTTCTTTGGTAAAGTGACTGTGGATCTCAATCGAGAAGTTGAGTCTGATAGATGCTCTTCAAAGGAAGAAGCGACTGAAGCATCTTATAAGGTTTTATGGGAAAGTTTTCGCATCAGTGCTCCATTAGAAGGTAAAGTACAAATCAAATAATATTTAGTTTAAATCTTTATGCATAAGAGCTTTATGTATGCATTTATGTATTACAGTGAAATACATACAAATATGTTTGCATATAATGTTGTTGGAAATAAAGCCATTTCAGGTTTGTGCAATGAATGTGCAGTTTTAACCCTTTAATCGGCAAGAATGCCCTTTAAAATACATCTGAAAATTAGTTTGTTGCCTTTCATAACACATCAGGACTCAAATAAGATATTTTCATCAATTAACGTATTACTTCTATTTTCAATTTGACATTTTGTATTTCTCGGGGAAAAAATATTTAAGGTTAAAAGAGGTTTAAGGTTGACCCATTTTCACAATATTTTAACCAGTTTAAAACATGTCCAAAAAGTACTATGTTTTTTGGACACATAGTCTGTGAAGTATTTAGGATTTTAAGATTAAAATGATTTTTTTAGCCCACTAAACCTGGTTTTCTTTCTCACTGCAACAGGTCAGACTTACAAGTCAGTGACGATGGAATATTTCAACACAAATGGCCTCCCAAAACCAATGGAAGATTTTGATGCCAACACAACCATCTGCAAGCTCAAACTCATTGGGCTTTTCACTTTTTATGACAAAGGTAACTGCACTTCTACTCTTAGTCATTTGTTAAACATCATTTATCTTCCTCTCACAAACCTTTTGTGTCGATTTCCAAACTATTGTTTGCTGACATTTAGTTTGCATTTCTTACATTTCTTAGATGGCTCCACCAAGAAGAAACAGGCAGAGCAACAGGCAGCTAAAGTCGCTCTGCAGCATCTGTCAGGGATCCTCAACTGTGCTCCAATATCAGATACTGAGAAGAACTTCAAAGGTGTTCTGAAGGAGTGTCTAGAGACGCTGGGTCTCAAAAATCCTGTTTACGACACAGATAATAAAGCAGAGGCCAGTGAAGAGCCCATCAGCTCGGACCTGATTACTTCTACAGTATCCATCAGTCAGGCGGAAGTGAAAGATCACTCAGAGTCTGAAATCATCTCATCATTTCCATCTTGCCAAGAGTCAGTCCGTGTTCCTGTTCCTGTGCAGCCGGACCCTCCAGACTCCAGCTCTCCAGCCTCACAGAGGAAAAAGCCCAGGAGTGAATGTCCAGGTAATGGAGCATGTAGGAAGAAATTGCTATTGCAGTGCTATAAGAAACTGCTTTTGCAGGAGACACCAGTAGGGAGTGCTAGTTAAAAAAAAAATATATATATTTTTAATTGCTCAATTAATTTATTTTGATTTCAAAATGTGCACAGGACATATTTAAATTACAAAGAGCCTGGAAAAAAAGCAGGCAGAACAAGTAGTTTAAAATGATAAGGATACATAAAAACAGCAGAGGAAAACTACTGACAAAAATGCTTTATCAAAGATTTAATAAACAAAGAAATGTGATTAAAAGAAATATTTTTGATATTTCAGGAATCACTTTCTTTGGTAAAGTGACTGTGGATCTCAATCAAGAAGTTGAGTCCGATAGATGCTCTTCAAAGGAAGAAGCGACTGAAGCAGCTTATAAGGTTTTGTCGGAACGTTTTCACATCTGTTCTCCAGCAGAAGGTAAAGTACGAAAAGTTAGGATAGATTTCAAAGATTTCATATAAAGTCATACGCAGGGCCGGATTTACCCATAGGCATTCTAGGCACGTGCCTATGCTTGCTCGTCCAGTGGGGGCCCAAACACAATGAAGAGATATATAATATTTTTGTTATGGGATATCTACAACAGTAAAAGAACCAAAAATCCCAGAAGACATTGAGCAAATAAATATAACAAACAATAGGGTAAAAATGACAAACTATTTCCATGTCTTCAACCTTTTATGTACGGAAATCACGCTTTCTTTCTCCCGTTCTCGCTCACACACGCACACACATAGACACGCACTCGCGCACACACATGGAGACGCGGACAGAAACTTGTCATCAGCGCTGCTCTGCGAATTTATCGGTAAAATAGTTTCGCAGCTGAAAAGCTACATGACATTTCTCAGTAGCGAGGTTCTTGAAGCAGTTAAACTTAAAGATTCGCTATTAGTAGACGCTGCTGCTGAATCCTGCTGAGAGACGCACAGACGCAAGTATTGACACACACATAATCTCTCTCCCTCTCTCTCTCTTTCGCTCTCTCTCTAATAACTGCGTTAGACTGCATTAATAACTGC